CTGCCAGTCAGGATCCTTTTTTCCTTTTTCTGTCTTTTCGTGTCATGTATTGCTTTCTTAAAAGACATTCTTCAGGATTCTTTTTGGTTATTTGATTATCTGAATCTGCTTGTTAATTTCCATTGGGGCTAATGAGGCTTCAAAGAGGTCTGCCCTTTTCAAGCCCTGATAGTCAAAATCTCTAGTCCTCCTTTTCACACATTCATAGAGTCCCAGAGCTACTGAATATCAGGGTCAAGTTCTCTTTTTAAGAAACAAAAACAGCTTCATATTGAATGGAGACCTCTCCTTTGCCATCATCACCACCATCCTCAGAGACAGGGATGATTTGCCTTGGCCCACTCCAAGGCATTTGCAAACCCAAAACATGTGTAGGGAGGGGACTGCCACTAACAGGACACAATAAAAACCCACCAACCAACCATGATTCATTATTCTGTAACCTTCAAATTCTCTTACCATTTTTATGAACCCTTGAAGTGAGCGTTCCATTTGTGAGGGTGTTAACGTCTTCCTTCTGCGTGCTGCATGGAGGTTCTATTTTGTCATCTTTGTCAGGAATGGGGGTATGTTTTCTTGCCACCTGTCACCCGGGACTGTTGGCAGAAATACCTGTTTGAGGAGGAGGAGAATCTAGATTTACTGGGTGTTAGCTTTGCAGTGAGCTTCACCAGGCTGTTAACTAGTCATAACTATGTCTCTCAAACCCTTACAGGGACAGTTTACTCAAAATGAACCATTTCAAAATATATTCAACGTGATTGCTATTTAGGATGTAGACATTATTCCCAAGGGGCCTCCGTTGTGCAAGAAGGTTGCTTTAGTTGAGCTGCCTTCGCCTGCTTTGTAGAGGCTTGGGACTGGTTAAGGTTTGGCTATTGATCATCACATAGGTTAGGACTCACACTTCCTCAATTGTTTTATTCTTATTTGATCCATCTAGAGACTCTCTTATGCCCATGTAATTTTTATTTGATATATGAGAAGACTAATGTAATCAGAGCAACTACTTTTTCTTATGTTTTAATGTTAGTTATATATAAAGAAAATGATGTAAAACGCAGAGAGGTTAACGAATGGGCACCCGTGGGACGACACCCTGCTCCACTGTGCCCCAACTGAGTTCCTCTTCCCCTGGATGCTACCATTGTCCTGATTTTGTGAATATTATTTGCATTTCCTGTAGCCTTTTCTTCACTTACGTTTCTTGGACTAGGGTTATTGGCAAGGAGGTATGAAGGTCTTCAACTTTCTTAGACAATGTCGAACATTTTCCATAGTGATTGTACCACTTTGCCCGCCCGCCACAAGCGTGTGAGTTTCCACTGCTCCACGTCTTCACCCACAATCAGCTGTGTCTGACTTGACTCCTGCTTACTAATGAGAATGAGCACCACGGAATACATCTGTTACTTACATGTCCTCTTTTTAGAGTGCCTGTTGACATTTTTGCCTATTTTTCATTGTTTTTTTTTTAGGAATTATTCATGTATATATATATTTATTCTAGAGCTTTGATGATTTGTTACAAGTGTGTTCTCCCACTCTGTGGCTTGTCTTTTCTGTCTCTTTATGGCATATTCTGAAGAAAAGAAGTTCTTGATTTTAGTGTAGCCAAATTTGTTAGTTTTTTTCCTTTGCTTTTTTGAATCTTAAATTCTTTCCCATCCTGAAGTTATAAAAAGTATTATGCTGTTATCTTATAAAATACCTAGTTTTGTTTTTTTTATAATTTAGCTCTTTATTGACTTAGATTATTACATGGGATAAAGTTGGGATTCAGTTTCATGTTTTTTTCGTATGAATATCCTCTTCTTCCCAACCAGTAGTTACTGAAAAGACCACTCTCACTGTAAAGAGAGCTTTTGTGCTGCTTCTGTCAGATCAGGTGACTGTAAATTTACGCTGTATTTCTGGGCTCTCTGGTCTATTAGTCTATTATTGCTCTTTTAGTACCACACCAACTTGATTAGGTTGTGACAATGAAAAGTAATTCTCATTAGGTGGTAAGACAAGTTGTCTCACCTTTATGTTTTCTTGGAGTTTCCTGGCTCTTACTGACTTTTTTGCATGTTCACGCTTAAATATCCATTTTAGAATGAGCATAAGTTCAAACAGACCAAAAATCCTTAGAAGTGCTGAATGGGACTGCATTCAATCTCTCCACCAATTTGGAAAAATAAACATCCTTATGATATTGTCTTACCGAAAGCATGGCTAGCTCACATTCTGTGTCTTTCTTGGTAATACATTTCAGCATAGGGTTTCTCTTGTCTCATATGAGGTCTTAACATGTTTTCGGTGAAGTTCTTTCTAAGTACTTTGTTTTTAGAGATACTGTATAAATGTTAAGTTTTCTTCTTTAAAGTGTTTCTGGTATCATAATTTCTGTATACTGATTTCATATCCAGCAACTCTACTAAACTCACATCTTAATTCTAACATTTTATCTGCAGAATCTTTTAGATTTTTCTAAATACACAATCACAGTGAATAATAGCTTTATTTTCCCCTTTATCTGTGTAAATACATGTGTATGCATGTGTGTTTTCTTTTCTTCCTGCCCTACTGCACCTGCTGGTGCCCTTAGGGACACAGGGAATGGAAGTGGTAGGAACAGGCTTTCTTGTGTTTTGCTGAATCTCCTAGGGAAAACATTCAAAAATGAAATATTTGGAATTTTAAAAAACTAGCATACTATAGAGTTAACTTTTTTCTTCTTGGTATAAAAACTCTGATTCGGAGTTTTAATCTGATGTATAGATGTGTGCAACCACCCCCATCCTCAGGATAGAGAACAGTCATATCACTTTCACAGTTCCTCTGCATCCTGCCCCCTCGTAGTCAGACCTTCCCCCATGTCTAACTTCTGGCCACTGCTGCTCTGATCTGTTCTTCATCCCTGTGGTTTTGCCTCCTCCAGAATGTTACGTAAATGGAATTAAACAATAGTTAGCCTTTTGTGACTGACTTCTCTCACTCTGCATAATGCCTTTGAGACTCATCTCTGTTGATGTATCATTATTCATTCATCATTATTGCTGAGGAATATTGCGTTCTATGGATGTACCACAGTTTGTTTACACATTCACCCACTAGGTTATGTATGTTTTCCAGCTCTGCAACTTTTTTGGGGGTAGGGGGAGGAGAGGTAGTTAGGTTTATTTTTTAATTTATTCATTCAATGGAGGTACTGGGGATTGAACCCAGGACCTCGTGCCTGCTGAGCACGTGCTCTTACCACTGAGCTATACCCTCCCCTCCTCTAGCCCTGCAGCTTTGTCAGCTTCCTTGGACAAACTGCTTCTCTATGCATCAGTTTCTTTCTCTGTAATGGGGATAATGAGCAAGGGGAAGATGGTATGTGGAAGGTGTGTAGGAGCAAGGTCATGAGTGGCCTTATGGACTACAGCAGGGAGTTGTGATTTTACTCCAAGTACAGCAGAAAACCAGGGATGAGACATGACCTGGTTCAGGCCTCTAACAGATCATTCAGGCAGCAGTGAGGAGAACGAGTTCTGGGGGACGGTTGTGAGAATGCAGGCAGGTTACTGCAGTGGTCCAGGGAAACGATGCTGGTGGCTTGGACCATCATGGTTGTTGTGAGGATGACGAGCGGTTTGACTGAAGGTAGTGTTTGTTTGTAGAACCCACAGGACTTGCTGCTGGATTCGTAGTTCAGTGGACCACGTTCCCTGTCTGAGTAGAAGTGAGGCTGGTCGTAGTTATCAACAGCAACAGTCCTCTCCCGTTTCAACTTTCCCAGAGATTTCCCTCATCCATTGTTGTTTTTGTTTTGTTTTCTTTTTTTTAAAACACCTTTATTGTGGTATGATTCCTGTACAGCAAACTACACATGTTTCAGATGTATAATTTGCTGAATTTTGATAGATGTAGACACCAGTGGAACCACCACCACAGTCAAGATCGCTAACATTTCCATCACTCCCCAAGAGGTGCCAATTTTGAATTCCCAGTTTCTCTCTTCCCGCTCCCTTTGCCCCCTGGTAGCCATAAATTTGTTCTCTGTATCTGTGAGTCTTGAAACCTAAACTTTAATGCCTGATTTCTGGAATCCACCTGAGGAAAGAGCCTGTCTTTTCATACCTTTAAAAATGATGTCTAACTAACTTCCTTCTTACTCAGACTCACAGCCGCAAACACATTTGTTTGGGGAAAAAAAGAGGCGACATCCCACAAAAATGTTTTCTTACAGCACTTTGCTTTGTGGTTCTCTGCAGACTGTAGACTTCTGTGACCCCACACTTAGTCATCCTGCTGGAAACGCAGTTGTCCTGGGTGCTTCATGCTTAGCCAGCAGGGTGGTAGTTTTAGTGGCTGGCGGGAGTTCCTGTGTACACTGGGAACTTATTGTTGGAATAAACATTATTAGATTCAGACCAAAATTGGACCAGAAATTTATTTTTGTCCTCCTTTCAACCTCAGTTCACCCTAGATTCTCTTATCCAGATGACAAATGGTCTTGACTTTCTGAAGTGATCTAAAGATTAAAATCAGCCCTGGGTGCCTTGCATTCAAATGGAGATTTTTTTTTTTTTTGGAAACAGTTAAAAATAGAGTTCACTGATCTCACATAAAGAAGTTTTCTTTTATTTCCTGTGTGTCTGCTCCTAACACGTCTGTATTTGTTCTCTGTGGGGCCTTAGCTTCCAACTCCTCCTTAAAGACAAACACCTGACCCAGTCTTTATCTGGGACACTCATCATGCTTTTTTTTTTTTAAACTCTATCGTATCTCCTTAATTTGGGGCTTCTCATAATTCAGGATTTGCTAAATTGGAGGAAATTTCCCTTCTATCCTGAGCTACTTGTTCTATTTTGCTCCAGTTTTCACCATCTCTCATCAGGTAGATGCTAAACCATGGTATTTATTTAACTCAGTTGACTTGTAGGAGGCCCCTGGAATCTTGGAGATACTCAGTTGAATCTTGTGCTTCATTTTGTGCTTCTTTGTAATTGGCTTCTTTTGTGATCTTACAGAATACCATGCTGCTATTTTACAGCTGAAGAGGGAGCACAAAGAAGAAATCGAAAACCTGCAGGTATATCTCTTTGATTCTGCTGAACTAGTTGTTAATGCTCAGTTTTCTCATGTGCTGAAGTAAATATTCCAGTCGTGTTGGCATATCTGCTTAGACAGCATCTGTACCTTGTACTTGCCCCTGGGCCTTGAGTTTATTCTGGGGATGAAACCTTGCACTCCATTTTTAATAAAATTCGATTCCTTTTTTTAAAAAAAATACCAGAAAAATGTTTGAGAAAATGATTTGATTGGAGAAAATGATGGTTTTATTTGGAAAGCAGGAAAGAAGACAGGGTATTTAGGCTTCACTTTTTATAAGAAGTCTTTGAGAAATTGTTTCCAGTACAAGTTGTTTTGTTTGGCATACTCCCAGTCATGCGTTCGTATCTGCCCGTCGCTTAGCACATCCCTGCAGTGTGATGTCGAGCAGCTTAAGGCACTTAGGAAGTAGTCCTAGTAGGAGAAAGAGTTCTGCTGAGCCAGCCATCCCACATCCCCAGGGAGTGCTTGAAAGTTGCCGACTTGATCTCCCTCGTGAAGCCCGGAAAGTCTGAGGGATCATTTCCTTTGTCCCACTAATTGTCATTCCCTTCTGTTTGGTGTTCGCTGGCAGTGCCTGTAACAGGAAGTTTCAGAGTCTTGATTTCAAATAAGTAAATATTGAATCAGGCACTGATTCTACTTGGCTGGTGGCTGGGGCTGACCCCATATCTCAGGAGAGCATGTGAGTGAAATCCGAATCAAACGTGGTAGTTGTATTGTGCTAACTCATGACTCGCTAAGTCAGTGAGTTTGTGGATCAAACATTCTTTCCATGAAGTGATAATGTACTTTTGAAAACTTTAAGAAAATAACTGGGGCTGTGTATTGGATTATATATGAAGCCATTGCTGGTAGCAAAC